CAAACGTCGTATGAAATTAGATAAAAATATTTGCACAACAACTTTTTAAATTAAAAACCTACTATGTCACGCTTCGCCTTATGAACGGCTGCCGTAACCCGAGACATGTTGCATACCACAGGATAGCCAACGAGCTTCGCAGAACAAAGCTTAAAATGAGGTTTGAGTATACCCAGACGAGCACACAAAAAGTGATAAACTGATGAAAAACTACGGAGGACTTTCTCTTACTCTTCAAGAGTAGTTTTAAAAACTTCTCTATGACTTTGTAAGGAATGTTAAAGCGGTTTCAGATGCTTTGAGATACAGCAAACCACTTGGTTTAGCGTTAGCTCAGATAAGAATCCATAATTATGGAAATCTGCCGTCTCTAAAATTCACATCAGAAGAGTGCTGTCTCCTAACTATTGGTTTCAATAAAATATGTTACAATCACCGTAATTATGACGGAACATAACTTCAATGATGCTGAGATAACTCGAAAAACCGACTTTTCTATAAACCTCACCATAGCTAGTTGATATATTTATTTATGTGATCTTATAAACTGATCTTCTTAAGCTGACGCGAGGTTGGTACGGGAGAGACGGGGATTGCATGAGTTTAGGTATAATATACTTGATCTCATATAACGCATGCGGTGAGGAATATCTTGGGGAGACGGGTAGACCACTTTGTGTCCGCATAAAAGAACATCTAGATGGGAAAGCTAAAATCCGTTTAAACACTTCTCTAGGTACGCATAGGGCAGAAAAGCACAACGGCGATGATTTTGAAGTGAATGTGCGGATCTTAGCGCAGGAATCGAAAACATCAACGCGCAAAACTCTTGAGGCGTTTTGGATAAATTTCAAAAAACCAAAGATGAACCAGAAGGACGAATGGCTCACTTTCACGCGTGACCTGGCGCCCTATTTCAAAATGATATTTTGACCCCGGGGCGTGTCTTGCTCGCGACTCCACGTGAACTACGTGTGGACCAGTCCCGCACGTAACATCACGGTGAGTGGCCTTTCCGTTCAATATGGCGTCTATTTGAAAATTTGGTCTTCCTTAATACTTTGACCTTCTTTTCTACCGAATAATAAAAAGTATTCTAACATAAAGTACGTCCAGGCTCTGAGGAAGGCGAAGTCGCCGAAACGTCACCCATCGATCAATAACATCAAAAACAACGACAACGACAACGAAGATCTGTACCAACCTCGCGTCAGCTTAAGAAGATCAGTTTATAAGATTACATAAATAAATGCTGAGATATTTGCACATCTCCGGACCGCAGGTGTCTGCGGTGGGGAACGAACGCTGTACTGTCCTTTGCGGGGAGTGACGCGTTCACCACCACACCGTTTGGGTCTTTCGTTTCGCCTCTCTCAGCTAGTTCTCTCGACCTCTGCCATGGTGATGGTGAAAGCGTTACTCCCTGGAAAGATAATAGCGCTTTCGCTCCCCATCGCAGACAACAGCGGTCCGGACTTCCGCAGAGATCTCAGCATCAATGAAGTTATATTTTGCAATACACAATGCCATTAAAAAGAATAGGCAGTTAATAAAACGGTTAGGATTATGACGGAGCAATTGCACACAAACAAATGTTAGATAAGCTTCACACCCACTCGGAGATGGCGAATGAAATTGATTAGCTGAAGAAACGACGAGCTCGATAATGAAACTTGCTAATATACCTTCGCTTTAAAATACTATTACCACTTAAAGTAGTTTAGCTGCCGTATATGATATAGAAAAACCAAAGTGATGCTTTCTCTCTTCCAAAAGATCAGTAAAATTAGATTTACGAATAGTTTACGTGATGGAGAACGAATCGAGATGATGGATTATTCAATAAAATATTTAACATGCTTGTACCTAATACATTGCAAAGATGTGGTAAACGACTTGAAATAAAACTATTAAAGAAGGCTTAAAGGCCTCAAAAACAAGTCACCAACAAAGGAAATAATAGAGCAAGATTTCCATACCCACTTATCCCACTAAGCAGCTTTACCAATATTCTACGATAGTGACATGGTTTAGACCGCTATATCAACAACGCTGATTTATTTGTGAACCACTTCCATAGTTCACAGACAATATCTGAATACAATCTGCCTATGCACTGCCAGTGGATATTGAAGCCACTTAATTGGGACGTGAATGGCATAAGAGGCATAAGGATTAATAGAAAATTTCCATCAAATCTTCGTCTCGCCGATGACACTGTCATCCTTCTGAGCACCAGTGAAGCAGGGACGATGCAGAATGAACTGAACAAAACGGGAAAAACGATTGGACTACGTATAAATGTGACAAGGACAGAGTTCTTGAAGAACCTATGATTCGAGAGCGAGCAAATCGAACTGGATGGTTCTCTGATTAAAGAGACCACCTCGTATGTGTACACCGGACGTTCAATGAACATACAAAACAAACTGATGGAAAAATAAGACAGAAAGAAAGCAAGATGACCCACATTCGGGTTTTTTAAAGAACGCACAGATCAACTAATGGACCAAAACTCCGCGTTCATATTTTGGACTCAACAGTCCTCTCAACGCTCTATTATGCAGCTGAGACGAGGGCTGATGTCTCACCCGCACCACAAAATCTACACCACTACAGAGCGCTTAAACGATGTTCGGAAATTTAACTGGAATTCATAACTTCTAACCGGAATGAGCAGCTCAAATCTTGAGCACCTGTCTCAACTCCGAGGTCTAAGGGAATACACACCGATAACAAAGCACAGAACGGTCGGCCATATAGAAAGAGACAGGTGAACGAAAAGAACAACGGAGTGGACTCTAAGAAGATGCAAGTGTCCTCTCGGACGACCATCCAAATGATGAACAAACGTGTTCGTCGCTAACGGCAACCATCTGTATTGGCATATGCACACGATTTTACGAATTTGAAATGGTCCTTGTGGACAACAACACGTTCGAAGCAGACCACCACCATGGACGACGATTGTGCGAGAAAGAAATGAGTAAAAATTATGATGAAGCGTGCACCACCAGTGAAGACAGGCCATCCAAGTATGTAGGCGTGGCCAGCACCAAGAAGAGGTTCTCAGCTTAGACCTTCGATGCACAACTCATTTTCATAGTCCAGAAGAAAGTCAAATTTTCATAGCTTCATAGTTCATAGTACACACCTCAAACAAGACAGATGTACTACTCATACAATGAGGAGAGCTGAAGAAATTTATATATTTCAGAGTGGATAACCCGTCGAGCAAAACCGAGGCTACATTGCTAAAGGGATAATTTACGAAGAATGCCAGTCTTCGTCTACCTACGATTTTAATTAAGAGTTTCTAAGTTGAAACAACCACTCACTCTCATTTTTGTTGATAATAGATACCGATAACGTCTTCGAATGTTTTCTGGCTTGTGCCTTGGCAAAATCTCGGCAATTTTTGCCCACTGTCCTAGAATAATAACAGCCGCTACCAAAATAGATTTATAGAAGCAAATCTACTGAGAACTCGCGAAATAATCCATTATTTCTGTCACCTCCTTGATCACAATACTCTATGAAACCTACCTCTTCCGAACACTTGCACACCAAGAACCAACCGTTCATCTTCCTCAGCCATCCAGTCGTTTGTTTCAGTACAGCAATCCAAAACGTTACACCATCTATAATTAAAAATAAGAATAAGAACACACAAAAACTTAGACTAGCTATATGAATGTTCTATAGAAATTCTGCCAACAAACCGCTCTCTACATTGACCATCTGATCTGCCTATCACGCACTTCGCCACCTTTGCCCAATCTTTGGCTCCGAACCGCGCTACTGCCGACATCAGCAACTTGACAGAAAAGATATATTAGATAGAAAATACACCGTAATAAAAGATTACATTGTGGAAAAGTCGACAATAGTCATAAGATGTTTTGGAACGGCTGAAATCTGTGGTCACGACGTACAAGATCCTCATGACCAGTCCAACGACCATGCCGAACGTTTTCATCAAGTGTGCGTACATATCGAGTCCGAACTTGTTGTCGAGTGCGCCCAGGCATGTAGAAAGAAACTATAACGAAAATACGCTTAATAATTATCTACTGAAAAACGACCACAACACATAGGCAATGTCGAGTACTAAAAGGCAAATTTAGAACCATTAATGCCAGATCAAGACTAAAATACTTACCTTTATCCCACTGTACCGTGTCATTAACGGTCATGATTTTTACCAGACCAACCAAACGATCATCTTCTTCTTTAGTCCATTCTCTGGAATAAAGACGTCCACATAAATAAATATTTATTCCCAAATTTGCTGACATGAAGAGTGAATATTTCTTTAACGGGCACCGGTTAATTAAACTCACTTAGTCGATTTAAATATGTCACTACGATACTTCTCGAAACACTGATATGGAGTGCGGTCGGTCCCAAGTTTTTTTGCAAGCGCAGCCCATGATGTAAAGGACTTCTAAGTGTGCATCTCTCAAAGAGTAAGCAAAAACGAAAGTAGAGGAGAAGAAAAAGAATGAAACCTCTTCACGAAGTTGTTTAAGCCGCTCTAATTCCTCTTTCGTCCACGGCCCGTTATTCCATTGTAGACACTGTTCATTTAACCATTTGTACTTCAGCGCTGCAGCAGATCGAGTTCCTTTGAACTAAACGAAAATATGATCTTGTTATAAACATTTTTAAAAATTTTCCTTAGAAAACAATAGCTCCATAATTGTTAAACCGCGAATAGTCTCTTAAGGATGCAGAAACTTAACAAAAACGGAGAATGGAAAAAAAAATTATCTGCATCCTTTAAGCTACATAACGGCCGCTTATTTGCATTAAGGTGTATGATGTCAAGGTAAAACAGACTTCGACAGTTGAGATCTTCATCCAGTCCACGCAAGAATAATCAACGACATCCACTTCTCGCGAATCCACTTGCTCTGAACGCGAATGTTGAATTTTGTGATCGAGAGCTTCGATTTCTTCTTTCCACGCTTTCAGTTCTTCACTCGTTTTTTCAACGCCCGCTCGAAGAATTTTAGAGCCTAATATTTCCTTCCTGAAACAAACTAGTTGTTCAAAAAATGTCCACATAACAAATGAATTTATTAAAGGTAAAAATGAAACAACATCACCCGGAATTACCGCACCTGTCAATGAACTTCTCGATATCCGCCTGTATGACAGAATTTTTAACAGACTCTCGAAGTAAGTGTAGCTCATTGGACGTCCCTAGAAATTTTTAACAGTTACCATGTAGAATAGTGAACGAATTGATAGCCAAATCAATGAGTCCAGTTAGTCTATGCAGAGAAGTAAACAAATAGCATGATAACACTTGACAATGGTATGAATTATTCAAGACAAACTGTTCAACCGCGTATAGCGCGAATAAATAGGACTGTGCCATACTCATCTATACACGTTTATCACTACATTGGCAACAACACCTAATTACTCGCAGCCATTGCGCGGAGTACGCCTAACTCTTCTTCGCGTGGAGTGCATCAGATTCAATGTGCGGTTTATCTTTTGTGTTTTTTTCATTATCTAAGTGGACATTCCTACATATATTCCCACCGTATTCCACGTCTTTTTAAACACTCTACGTTTCCTTCATGCTATTTCATGTAACTTTCCATGTCTCTGGAAAATTTTTAACTCATGCCCGTGGTAAAAAAGATTAAAGAGAGAAAGAGAGAACAGAAGTAATAAAGCGATTGAAATTGTAGTATTATCAAAGAAACATGTTAGACTCTCAGACCAAAATTACCACTTTTTTAATGCAACAAATCTGACCCACACTTTTTGTCTTCTTTGATCAGGGGGTCGAAAGTAGTGTACCGAAGTTTGTGCTTGGCTTCTTCGTTCAGAGGAGGGCACTGAAAACAGTCATATTATGGTTCAAGATGAAGTGCCGTAATCATAGTACAATACTATTTTAAGGAAAAAATGGTATACCATCATATTTTCATCTTTAAAATATGGAGGAAGATACTGAATAACAGGAATCTTGTTTTTCATGGGACAGTCTTGTCGCTGATCCTGTTCCATTTTCTTTTCCAACACTGACTAAATTTATACAAATCTCTACTATTCAAAGTTCTTGTCTGTCCGCAACAGCGTCTAGATATTAGTATTGTAAAACTTGATTATAAAGCAGTGCACCTTTTTCTCCGAAAGTCCTTTCCGCTTCATTTCAATCTCGTATAGATGACGATCGATAAGTTCTATTTGAGCTTCCACCAAACCCAAGAGCTCTGCATAGCGACCCGCTGTGTGGTCATAACCACAATTCAAATCTTCATCTGACACAAAAACCTAAATTATTAAACGATTACTGAAGAATCTACAAAAGGACATGGAAAAACCAGTTAATGTCTGTCTACATTACTCACCAAATTTGCGCTATCTGATGTTGCACAATCATTCCCACCGTCAGTTTCCAACAAGTCAAACGCTGTGGATGCCAAATTCATGCTTAAGTAAAATTTCCACTGTGGTCACTTGGACACAACAACGCGACCAAAAATTAGTGCATTCAAGAAAGTAGCGAACGAGAGCAACATCATCAAGAACACCAGGTCTTTGCTATTCATATGTAACCATTTACCGTAGAACTGACACATATGATAAATGTAAGTCTACATCAATTCTGTGCACTTCACAATTTGAAACCAATACCAAGAAGCCCATAACCATAACAATATCATCTGGAAAATACAATGTGATCGTGACCAGCTTAGTGTATGAAAATGATTGGAACAAAATTAGCACAGCTGGTAACTAAGAGGAAACTGAATGCTCTTTTGTCCCAGCTTCATTTCGCTGCTCAGAAGCATGTTCTTCGGTGATATTCCATGAATTTAACTGACCCGCCAGGTAAATGCGATTCAACACCTGAAATTCATCGCGATTCAGAATCCGATATTTCCAGGCACCAAAAACCTTCCCAGTTTCCTAAATATCGTTTTCCTCAGAATCCCTAAGAAATTTGAATCCCTACGAAAAATTCTGGAGTGTAAGACACACATTTGGGTGACCCGCTACCCTGAGATTTCTCATTCATCGATTCCTCTAATTTAAAAGACTCACCGTAGGAAAAATTGAAATTGAACACGTTTAAAAACAAAGCTTACCTATGACAAAGGAAATGACGCAAGCAATAAAACTTGTCACAAAGTTCCATGTAAACTTCGCAAATAATTCTGAAACTAGACAATTCTACTTGTTATAATCTTCAAAGCCATTCACTCTTCCAGTTCTAGGTTTTCTCCACCAACCCATGCCAACATAAGCGAATCCTCCTTCGTACATAAGTTGTTAAGAAAAGCCAAATTTAGAGACCTATATTACATTTGACAGACAGAAGGAAAACGTTTTCGAGAAGGAACATGAAGCACAACAGTTACCACCTCGGAACTGTAACCTTTATATCAATAAAATGGTTGACGTATTTTGCAAAACTTTGGGTTCCAAACCTTTCCGTGAAAATCTGCAAGATCAGATTTCCGACAATTTGTCGAGCTTGGAGCGATACTACTGTTTCACTGCCCCTAGTTCTCAAGTAGATTTAGTAAACACCCTGAGTAACCAATATCTGCATTAGATCGCTTTCTGAAAGACAGTTCAAAAATGCGATGAAAAAGAAAAACCAATATTTGATTATCTGTGCAAGGTCATAGGATTATGGCAGCAAAAATAAGAAAAACGAAATGGAAATGAAAAAAATGAGAAAACTAAGGAATAGGTAGACCTGCACCACATCGAAGGAAACCGTGATGACTCTTAATTCTGCTATGCGCGGCATGCGTTGAAATAAATGCATACAATGTTATACCTTTTTATTTTCTGCCTACTATAATTTCGCGGCAAGGTACTAAACGAAATACAACCACAACGTTGCTGAAATAACTGCAAAACTCTGGACCGCAGGTGCCTATGGTGGGGAACGAACGCGCTATTGTCCTTTCCGGGGAGTAGCGCGTTCACCGTCACACCATGCGGGTCCTTTGTTTCGCCTGTCTCTCAGCTGTTTCTCAATCTGATCTTAATCCCGCTGACGGGTGATTGCTGTGGCAAAGATCGATAGAAATAGCTGAGAGACAGGCGAAACAAAGGACCTGCATGGTGCGGTGGTGAACGCGCTACTCCCCGGAAAGGACAATAGCGCGTTCGTTCCCCACCATAGACACCTGCGGTCCAGAGTTTTGCAAATATCTCAGCAACGTTGTGGTTGTAAATGCGTACATTTCGTTTTGGCACCAAAAGTGACTCTGCAATCCGGTTTTTCTAAGTATTTTTCAGTACTGAAAAAGAAACTCATCCACCATCTAAAAATGCGCCCTCAGCCTGCGATAGTCAGTTTAGCCGTGTATAAAGTATACACCAATATTTATTGTTTTTTAAGAATGCGGTAGAGCAAAAGCAGTTGAGAACAATGAGTAAGGCGGAGTTAATGTCTGCGATAACTTGAAAGCTGGAACTCTGCCGACGGTAAATTTCGATGCACAGAGTCAATATACTAGTGTAATTAAAACAGCGTTGGTATTTGCCACCTGGCTATTGTAGATTAAAGCGCTCACGAGTTCCCGATTCTGAGTGGGAATTCTTGGAGCGCTTCGGGTGAGCGATTAATGAAGTTGTTGAGTAGCAACGGAAAACGTCCTGATAGAACTGATACCTGATTCTGATTATTTTGATGTCAAATCGTTCACTGTGCAATGTAACATTGAAATAATATGTTGTAGTAGAGCAACCTAGTCGTCAAAGTTCTTAACAGAAATCGCAAGGCCTATTAGCTACGGAGCGATGCCTAAAACCATGTGGCTCATGCTTCCGTTTGATACCTAATTCTTAGGCGCATTCCCAGTGAGTATATTCCCACTCGCATCGATCATTACGCACAATCAAGCAGGTGGGTTCGTCCCATCTGTTTTACCTAGTTGTTTTTGGTACCCAAAGAGACAGTAAGCATAGATACACTCTCAGTTAGCCAGGCTACCAACACGAGTGTACTGCTATATACACAACTCATTAACGACAACAGGATTAAGGTTCTTCATTCGTCTTTTTGAAGACGAGGGATATTCAACAATTTGTAAGATGTTGTACTCTTCTGGATTATGAAAACATCAGTACATGCACAGATTTTAAAGAGCACGCGGAATGTGCAGGCTATCCCGATGAAGATGATAGAGCCCGTCCTCATAATCCAGACGATATTCAGGATTTATATAAAGCAAGTTCCTAAAGTACTGCACTCGCTACCCACAGATGCGCCGCATAGATCCACAATTAACCAGCCATAGATCGCTTACACGAAGGATCCAGTACTCAACCGATTAGCCTAAAAATCCACCATAAAGACGGTTCTAAATCTTATAATTGACCTGTTGCAGTGCTGTCTCAATGATGCGTTCTACAGTGTCACTTTAGAAAGACCGATGCACTCTATCAACTGCACCCGATTCTTAATGAAATGAGTCATTTAGAGTTATCCAGATTATGCAGTCTCCGTCCTTCATTCAGAATCATTTTCATGGTGTATTCATCATCTATGAACACACTTCACACTATGACAGAGGCTCTTAAAATTGTATCTGAACTTATTAAACGACAAAAAAGATACAAAAAGTACGAGAACACAGTTGCGTACATGTAGTACTTTGTTTGCAATATTACAAATTCAATATGACGGACATATGGCCGTAAAACAGGATCTTCGGGAGCACAACCGAAGCATGGTGACTAATAGTCCCTCGAAGTTACTGCATTTTGATGCATAGAAGAGCACAAATATACCATCATTATACTTAACTGCATAATTGCAACTAGGTTTAGACGCTGAAAACGTTTTAAAAAAGTAGATAGCGTACGAGTACCAGTTTGGTGTGAGAGATTCCAATTAACAACGAACCAACGGTCAGTGTAGATTACGCGAATCACAGACGAAACTGCACCTGGCAATGGAGTCAGGGTGTCTCCACATAATGCCGTTAGCAAAAATAGAGACTCTGTTGTCTGCTTTTCCAAGTGCTGTAAACTTGTGAATCCATGTGCTGATATTACAGTGCCGTCGGCTCTCAAACAGTGATTTAGTGCATCGTTTCAACTACGGGAAACATTTATCAAGAACACAACGCCTCAGTTCTACTTGTGGTTCACCGTCAACAACACAGTATATTCCACAAAATGTACACTTCGATGGCATCATTCCAATCCATTCGTGAGGCTGACGATCAGCGTTAGCTCACGAAGATAACGCTGCTCAATAGCTTCCGTTACGCCTTGGAATTTCTGCACCAGGCGAGCTTCCAAAACCCCAGACGACTTCATTACATAGGCACGGACTTAACCTGAAATTCCCCATTTTAAAAAATGATAACCTTCCCTGAGGACTCTCCTGTACCAGCTGTATAATCAGTAGTTCCGCCGATCGTCGAGTGACTCGAGTCGGCGCCAGTAAATCTTCCATTTTTTTTCCTGTCGCGTGCAAGAGCAGCCCAGTGGGTTCTGCGCGCTATAAGGACTCGTTGAGCATCAAAAAAAAAACAAAAAAATATCGTCGTAGAACTGTGATATTTGACTGCGAAATTTTTGTAAAGCTCACGAAGAATCTTTATATAATGAGCAGTGACTCCTTAACTATCAAAAACTTCCATGACTGGTTCTATCTCGGTTGAAACAAAGGCATTCTTCAAATCGATGAAAGTGGGACACAGCGGTCTTTTGTACTCTCGCGACACTTCAACGAGTCTCGTTATCGTGTGGATGTGGTCCATCGGACTAAAAACTTTGCGAAACCCTGCTTGCTCACATGGCTGCCTTTCATCCAGTGTTCTGCTAATCCTATTTAGGATGACTCGAGTGAAAAGTTTGTAGACGACAGACAACAAGTAGATTGAGCGATAGTTGCCGATATGTAGAATATTTGGACGGTTTTGCTGATCTTCTATTAAGTAGGGACCTTGAATTCATACAGGTAACGCGTGAGCAGCCGAGGCAATGTCTTTACGACGACTGGCGGAAGGTTCTTCAGGTGTTCACAACTTATCCTCTCCGGACTTGGCGCTGTTGATGGTGATGAAGGGAGAACCGGTGGTACAACATATCCATCCTCCTTTATTTAACATAACGGAATGTGCACATGGCTATCGAAGAGATTTGGGTAGTATTCGTGAGTGGTTTTCTCCAGTGCCTTTCTGGACGCTGTAACTGTTCCGTCTGGGCGTCGGGGTGCAATTATCTTGGTCTTGTAATTGACGAAGCTTTGATGGGCTTTGGGAATGCTTTCTGCAGCTTCGCCCATTACTGCTGCTTTTCTCTCTTTACGATCTTCTTTTCTGTCTGCATTGTTTTGCAAGTTCGGACGTTAGTTGACGGTCGCACGCAGCTCATGCGATTCCACGCTGGCATATCAGCTCGAGTGTGCACGAGCGAGCCTTCTATGGAAGACTCGGGTGCAAGTGTACGCGCA